ACATACATACATACATACATACATACACACATACATACATACATACATACATACATACATGCATACACTAATAACTAGAATTGTTACTGAATTGTTACAAGTCCATGGTGTCCACTCGATTAAAGTATAAATGCACTTTCATTGGTCGGCCACTGGGTGGCAGTGTAACTAACATTTATCCAAACTCATGGATACCGCTGTAGTTTCCCAAAAGTTTTCCACTATATGTGTAAGAAATCGAACATTATTATTAATTAATGCTCAATTTCAACAAAAATTAGGTTAAACCGATTATGTCTGTTCTTTAAGTGTAATTTTATCCCATATTGTGATCACAGCAAATCTACAGATTCTGTTTTTTGAAACAATATTTAAAATTTAACAGATTTATTATGTTTTTACTTATATATTAGAAACTCAAGTCACGTGATAATCTGTTAACTATAAATATATCTAGGAGGGTTCGGTTGCATTAATTGCACAGTAGTGCATTTAAGGGGCTCATAAATCACTGATGAGATGACACGTCGAGGAAGTAATACTCCTTGTTTGAATGCTGTGGACAGTCACTTGACTCTTGTGTCAGATCTTCATGATTTCTATATTTGTGTACATGCAGGTGACTCCAGATGCTTCCTGTTCTCTGTGTTCCCCACTCTGAGAGTCTACACAGCGACAGGGTACAACGAACACTTCATGTACCTCAACCAGCACCAACAGACAATGCCCAATGGACTGGTGAGACTGCACAAACTCACTGGAGGAGAACTTCAGCGCCGCTGCTCCACGATGGGACATTAATCGAATAATAATTCCCTTCACTTAGTCAGCATCCTGAGCTTGAATTTATATAGATATAATAATATTTACAGTTTCTAAATTATATCTTTTAGGATAAAGAATCAAAGTGAAATGTCAAAAACATTAAAATGCTTTGTTTTTAAGCATTTCAGTTTTAAATGTTTAAGGTTATTAGCAGCCTCAGGCAGACCTTAGGCCTCACCTGTTTTTTTTTTTTTTTTTTTTGTTATGTGATGTTTTCCTGCTGTGACTGGTGGTGAAATGAAGAGCATATCTGGTCAAATGACGGATCCAGTAAAATAGATATTGTGTTTTTGTTGAYGCCATAAACAAAGAAAGCAAACTTTCTGCTTCTGATTCAAGAAATTACCGGTAATCTGAAAACTTTGGCTGCTACTGCTGCAGAATAAGACAAGTGTCCCAAAGTTAACTTACATTTTAAAAATCTTTCTTTTAGTTTTAAATTATTCACCTGGGGCATTTCATGGAATTTAAAAGTGGTTTTAAGAACTTTTTAAGTTGTTTTCTTGACATTTTAACATTGAGAGATAAAAATAAATGTGTTGTCTTCACCCACATCGACGTCAGAATCATGTTTGTTTTCTAACCTTCACCAGGGGATGGGCGGTCAGCACGACTATTTCGGGCTGTGGCTGGACAGCGACTTCGGCCAGGGTCACAGCCGTGCGCGGCCCAAGTGCACCACCTTCGGCAGCCCTCAGCTCTCCGCAGACGAAGAGTTTACCCTGGACTCCATGGAAGTGTGGGCCGTGGGAAAACCCAAACAGCCAGAGGAGGTGTGTGTTTTATATTAAAGGGGCAATATTATGTGTTTCTCAGGCATATGTTTAAATACTATACCATAATAAAGTATCTATATCACCTTTAGCTGTTATTAAAATGGTGTTTTTATGTTTAAATAGAAAATAAACATCTTCTCATCACTTCCTCTTCTAAACGCCTTGAAATTGGCCTCTGTCTCTTTAAGAAGCACTTTCCGCTTCTGTCTCGTCCATTTCGGTGTGGGAGGGTCGTGGGCGGTGGGGTGGGGGGTGCGTGCGCTATGATGCAATTTACTTGGCATCTGGAAATACATTTCCTCAAAGGTATTTTGAATCTGAAAAGAGCGTCACTGAGTGAGCAGTAGTGTTAGGAGCTCAGCAGACAGTTTCACTTTCAGTTTCACTCGAGAGCCTGCATGAGTCATGGGCGCGGTGTGTGGGGAGGGGGGTGGGGAGGTGTGCTTCGTGATGAGGAAGTTTGGCTCGGAGACACGTCCCAGAGGTGTTTCTGGTCCCCACCTGTCCTTTTACTTCTCAGCATAGCTTCCTAAAAACGCTGCAGGATTTCTCAAACATGCATGAATGAGTCAAAGCAAGGCTTTGGGCATGTTTTTTATCAGAGTATAACATTATAACATGATATAAAACTCAAAAAAGTTGATTTTACATGATATTGCCCCTTTAAAAAATCCATATAAAGTTTTACTGCACTTTGAACTTTCTGCTTCAGCTTCTTGGTGTTAATTTTAGCTTCATTCAGTTTCTTCTTTTTTCTTTTTTTCCTTTATTTTTTGCTAATTTAAGCATTTTTTCCCTTCTTTATCAGCTATCTTTCTGCTCTTTTCAGCTATTCTGCTAAATTCTACTTTTTTTTAAATGATTTTTTCAGCTGCTCTCACAATATCAGTTTTAAAACCTTTCAGCTTGACTTCAGCTCCTTCAGCAGCTTTCAGCCATAACCCTTCACACTGCATCTCTGCARGAAATGCTAGTTTTTTAGTTAAAGCTTGATCTTGGTCATAGAGAATAAAAATGTTATAGGTTTAAAGTGAAATTCCCTGCCTACTCAAGCTTCCATCTGATCAGTCTGATGCAGAGAAAGCCCCGTTTTGCTTAGAATACACTCGGATGTTAATTTTTAATGCCGCAGTTCTTACCGACACAGTGACAGATCCTGTGATGAGTCAAACAGATTTACATGAACATCTTGTAAAAACTCAAAACTATTCTGTTTCAACTTAAGGTTTTTGCCTTTTTTTTTGTGCATGTTCATTTGTCTTCCTTAGCAAAATAAGGAAGACAAATGAAAGTTTCAGGAACTAATTGGTGGATCTGCCTCTACAGCTGCTGAACATCTACAGTAGCTAATCCATATGAAGATGGCCATCACAGCCAACTGAATTTAGAGAACACAAAAACRGCTATAATTCAGTCACATTTACAGACATAGAGCTGAAATCTGGTGTGGTAGTAGCTGAAAGTCATTTGAAATACATAAATTGTTTTTTATTGTGCTCTGACAAGTAAAAGAAAAAGGGAAGGGATTGTGTAACTCTGCTGAAACTGAAACATTAGTTGTCACGGCTCGTGTCTTCCTTCTCACCAATGTATGATGTGTTTATTTAAAAACTCGCTGTGACACAAACCAACAGCTTTCAGGTCATCTGCTGCAGTCAGGAAGAAAAATGGGAGAGCAGAGACGTGTGGATAAAGTATTTCTATATAAAACATAATTCTCTCTGCATATTCAAGAGCTGGATGAGAACGGTTCCACGAGCGAATCAGCCGTGTAATAAATGCACCACGAACAGAAGCTCATTTACATCCCCGCTGTTTTACATCTTACATCTGTTTCCTTTCAAACCTGCGTCTCTCCTGTCTGCCTGGTGTTTCAGGCGGAGGAGATGGAGCTTGAGAGGAGGAAGAGCATTCTGAATGTGGATCCAGAGGTTCAGGCCATGATGGAGCTGACAGGAAAGACTCTGCACTGCGAGGGGTTCCGGGAGCTGGAGGAGGACCTGGATTAATCATCAGTTTTTACTCAGGCTCCCATTCTGCCTAGTACTAACGCACTGAGACATGAATCAATATCATATTTGATTTTTTTTTAACATACAAATCATCGTTTCTAATTATAAAACTAAAATCAACCTTTAATTTAACAGTAATTTAAAATCAACCATCCTTAATGACTGTAAATAAAGCTTAAAAGTTGGCTGTAAAGTTCGACACGGGACTAGCAGAGCAGGCTTTATGTTGGTTTTTACTATCCGTGCGAGAAATTTTGGATGTGGGTTCACACTTTGGCTCCCGTGATGTTAAACAGAATAAAACCTTTTTTATGTGTTTCTTAACTTTTGATGTTATTAAAATAGAAAAATTAGTCATTTTGTTCAAATTGCCCCAAGTTATACTAAAAAATAATGTGAATTTCCTTGTAAAAGTGAGTGAAATTTTTTATTTATTAACCTCAAAGAAAATATTGAAAGATCAACATCAGGGATAATAGATCCCTCCTTGAATATTACGTAGGTTTATCAGTGTAGTGTTGATGGTTCTAACTTGAAAGTGATATTTGTTGTACTACTTTTTAAAGTTTTGTGCTTTATTCAGTCCTAAAAATCAGCTAAAGTTCTGGAATTCTGTATATACAGTAAATATTTTTTATTATTATCCCGCAGCACAAAAAGAAGTGTTTAGTATTAACGTCATGAGAATCGTCTGCTGCAACTGTTTGAACTTTTGGYGATTTATTTACAAATATTTTAGTCGTTAGCTCAAAGTACTGAGATCCATAAAAACAGCTACGTTACATATTAGTTAAACCACTACATCTCCTTCAGGCTGCAGAACTTTACATTTTAAACTGTTCTTTAAAAAAAACTCGCAAATAACAAAAAGCTCCTAAAATGTAAATTCAAATCTTATCAGAAGTAGTTGCWGTAATTTTTGTTTTAGTGATGAAACCCTAGCCCTTTCTGTTCATCACAACTATATTATTACGTTGAACAGGTGACAAGAAATTGTGTAAAACATTCCACATCAACRTGCTTTAAAGTGCTTGTGACATGCTTATCCTTCAAATACAAAAATTCAAAGAAAACACTTTTTCATATATAATTTTGGCATTATACACATCAACATTTATCCATTTTGTCACATAACTGACATATTTTTTGGACTTGGCTCAACTCAAGGGAAACAGGAAGTGACATCAAAGGGGAACTCTTTAAAAAATAACTCTCTGGTCTTTGTTTATTGGMACAAGATTCRACTSTTCTTCATCTCTCTTTGACAAACATMAGATTCTTCTCTAATCTGTTATTCTGGCTATGCTCTGTTCACATGCAGACATTCCCCTTTGACATCACTTCCTGTTAATGCAAATGTCTCAACAGCTGTTTATCTCAGCAGTGTGAACATTTTTATGCAATATTTTATCAATGTTATCTTTCCAAATATGCTTTCGCATTTATTACAAATGTTTGAAGTCACAGGCACTTCAAGTCAGAAACTACCTGTTCAGTAAAAAAAAGGTGCTGCTACTTATTTAACATTTTGTCAGAAGTGCATTAAAATCATGAGTTTTATTTTACAGCAAGTCTCATTACATTTTAGTATTTTTTATTTTTTTCTTACTTTTACTTTTTAACAATAGAACACGAACAAAACATTTCCTCACACAAGATCACATCAGGATAAAATTCATCGTATTAGAATAGTATTTAAGTTTCTGGGATGTCTTGAAAAAGGTTTTTGTCATTTAAACTCTTAGATACATATTAATGTATTTTCCTGTTTGTATCTAAAGTCTGCACGAAGTAGAAAAATGTCAAACGTGGCGTCGACTGTTGTGACGAGAGTAAAGTGAATGTGTTGTTAAAGAAACAAACAGCTCAGGCTTTATTGGCAGTAGAAAAATTTCTCTACCTCAAATCACTTAGTGTCAAATGAAACTGTCTTTCACGGATGAAAATGTAAACTTCCAGTGCATGTAGTGAAAGTACACTGTATGTGAAGTGAGTACTTTATTGAAATAAAGTTACAGATAAACTACTACATCTTGTCTTGTGTTTGTTTATGTTTTTATGCTTATTTATTTATTTGTTTATTTATTTATTTAGCCTTTATTTATAACATATCTGTTGAACCGGTTCCGAAAAAGTTGCCACAAACGCTGCGTTGCATTAATACAAACACCTGCTGAAAGGCAGCTTTGTGTGGCTCTTCCTCCTCGATCATGCAAATAACTGAACTGAGTTACTCATGCAAAGTTCATAGTCAAGCAGCTCGCACAATATCACAAGTTGTTTATACTTGTGTCAGTGTTGTATTTTCTGCTGTTTCTACAAAACTGGATTAGTTCCACTGAAAACCTCATAAATGGAAATGTAGAACGACTTACAGCTTGTCTGAGGTGAACTTTATCTGCGGTCATACTTCAAAATATTCTTCTTTATTGTTATTGTTTTTGGACAGCTCTGTGAAATTTGACACTGAAAAACTACAAATAGAAAACAACTTTCCCTGATAGTCTAAAGCAGTGGTTCCCAAACTTTTTATCTTCTGACCCACAAAAATATTCATGGCAAAAACTTGTGACCCCAAATATWACTGGTCTGAGTACACAAACTTTGTTAATAATCCTAAAAACAAAGTTTACACAAATATAAATACTTATTTATACTTATTTTGTGTTTTTGTAATAATTATAGAGAAATTATTACCTCACCAATTATTTAATTACCCTTTAAATTGCTTTCTGAAGTGCAGTGGTTCCCAAACTTATCAACTTTTGACCCACAAAACAACAGTAGCAGAGACCTGTGCCCACAACTATTTTTGGATGATAAACATTTGTATCAGGTCAACTAAACATGGGCATAGTAACAATATTTATTATTCTACATTTATACATTTTAGGCAGCTAAGGCAAAAATGTAATTAATTTAGAAAATATTTTCAGGACCCCACCTTGATGTTTCAGGACCCCACTTTGGGTCCCGACCCCAACTTTGGGTTGGGTCTAAAGGGCAAGTTGTGTGAGACTTGAGAGCCCTGGTGTTCTTCACACAATGTTCAAATACACAAAATAAAAAGTGTGTGTACTTTTTGTTGTTTTTAAAGAGATTACTCATGGCGCAGGATATTGAGGGCATTTTTGGTTTCAATTTGTTGCCCAAAGACGCTTCAACGAACCACCAGAGGAAGCTTTCATCCTACTTTGGTTTCAGAATTGTGGGTTAGGTAGCGATACTACAGCATTAATTTACTTAGGAGCGTAACCAGTAAAAAGGGCCTTTTGTACAACGATTCACTAGTTTCACAGCTACAGAAGAAAAAAATTAATGTTATAATTTAAAAAAAGAAACGTGCTACCTTTATATTTATTGTAGTCTATTTATTCATGTTTGGGGCAGCAGTCTACAGCTAACAAAAAACATTTTGTTTGCTATTAGCGGAACTGCTCACCACTAAATTTAACCAATCAAACTGAAAAAATTGATTAAAATAAAATTTTAGACATTTTTGGTGAACTATTAGATCAGTGGTTCTCAAACTTAGAAGAAAAACTAAAGTAATTTGTTTCCACAAATACAGAGCTAATGTTTGGTGTGGTAGTWGCTGAGAGTCTTGCATATTTTTAGAACACTGTACAACTATGTAGCCTGTTAGGAAAATATCTTGTGGATTTTGTTTCAACTTTCAATGCGTAATCGTTGGATGTCTTTCTAAAACAAGATGGCCTCCATAAGTAATTATTACCAGAGCCCTATAGAAAGATCTTTCTATAGGGCTCTGATTATTACGAACCTTTGCAGGTCTCGCGAGATTTGGCTGTGGCGGCCATATTGAATTATTGTGACGGGCGATATGCAATCCTTCAAGGATGCTAGGTCTTTAAGTGACATTATGTCTGGAGTAGTTGCTTCAAACATGTATTATTATAAATTTATTGCTCCGTTAATGTTAAAAATCCTGATTGTTTTGTACCGTTTTTATATAATCTGACTACAACTTTATGTTTGCTCATCAGAAACACGGTGACGCTTATTGAAAACTCCTCTTCATGTCGCGGGTCAAAGTAGCAGCTTTGTGCCTCTCTGTGCCTCTAGTTTGCATAGATATCATCCTTTGCTTCCGGACTTTTTTTTTTTATAACTTGCAGGCAGTGCCTATAATGCAAGTTAACTTTTACTTCCTTGTACACACAGGCTGATAGAGGAACTGACCGTCCTGCGGCTGGCCTTTTCACAACACCACATCCTCTCCAGCTTCATTTCATAACTTTTCAAGCCATGGTTGAATATTAAAAGACAAAACAAACGCCGACTTTCTTTGTGAAGAAGCTTATTCACTCGAAAGGTAAGCGTGTTTTTTTGCTACGATTTGACTGTTTATTGAGCTGTGACAGATCAGTCTGAGAGGAAGGGAAGTTTATTTATTTATTTATTTTGGCAGCAACTGTCAGAACCTGCAGCCCTGCTGCTGCGTTCACGGCCCCACAGTTAACACCCAGTTCAAACAAAACTCTCATCACTTTTTCACAGATCCAGTCTGTGTTTTTCTATTTCTGAAATCCCCCCAAATCCCCCCAGACATCTCATTTTAAGATTATACCTGAATCAAACTGTTCTCAGTGATGAACTGTGGAGGTACAAAACCTTCAGTTCTGTACTGTAAAACTTCAAACTGAATATAGGAGCATCAGATCCATTACTTACTTATTTAGGACACTTTGTTCTAATTTAGAAAGGAAAAACTAACATTTGCAAGTCAAGATTGGACGTTTTTGTGCCCCTTTTCCATTTCTTTTGCTACTTCTTTGCTTTTTTTGTCATTCAGAGATGGCTTGATGTCTCATTGGTTTTTAAATTGTTGATTCTTTTTACTTTCTTATGGTTTTGATGAATTCCTAACCATATTGTGTTTTTAGAATGGTCTCATCTTCATTTTATAGCATTTYATTGTGTGTTTTTGTTGAAATCAGTGGGATCATTTAGCATCTTTTCAGTCGTATCATTCCATCTGACCCCACTTGTCAAGACTTAACAGTTTCTTTGTAGCTGTATCAAAACCCAACACGATTAGGCTCATTCGACCTTATCAGACAATCCCAACATGACCAAAACYGTAATAGGGTAACTTTGCTACATAACTTTGTAGTTTAYGCCGCAAAAATCYAAATAAAACTAAAGGATGATTCAAGCAAACGTTCATGGAGACAGAAATGTTCAGGTTGACAGGAAATTCAAGATAGCTGTAACGCATACAACAACACGTACTAGGTAGACAAAACCCAGGACTTAATGTAACATTTTAATATTTTTGAATATAAAAAAGGAGCCCGTGTCATAGTTTAACATCCTCATAAAATCTTGATCCCACAGCCATGACCACTACATGTCAGGTCGGCCACCTTYAAATACGATCAAAGGACCTTAACTGTTTTCTCCAGTTTGTTCTAATTTGAGTTAACTTCTCAGCACATGCAAATAAAACRTAAATCTAAACCGCTTCAGTTAAAAGTGTCTTGGATACTTCTTATACTTCCTATAGATATTTTAATAACTGTTCATCTCAGTAGCATGATGTTTTTACAGTATTATTGCAAAATTTGATGTCACAGTTATATTAAAGTGTCTCAAATGAGAAGGTGAACAGGAAGCCAGGACCGGTTCTGCTCCTATCTGACTGCCTTATGCTTTATATCTCACTGGGCTGCAACTGTTGGCGACTAGTTTAATTCTGAATGAAGTGTCCAACGTGTCTCCAGTTGTTTGATGGGGTTCTCAGTTTAGTTGTAAACTGCCTCTGTAAAGAAACAGCTTTGTGTCGCTTCTGTGCTTGTTCCTCGCGTGATCTTCTTCCTAAGGGATCTTTTTTTGCAMGTAAATAAATCCAAAATCACGCTGCAGATATTCAACTTTGTTGTGTAGTTTGTAGGTGACACATTTATATTTRACTTCACCTGTAAATGGAAACAAAGTCACAATTAGATGGCCRGAGCGAGGTTTGAAAAACTCGAACAGCAACTCAACTTTTTTGTTAAAACTCGAGCTAAAATGTTGCCAAAGACGGGCTTTTCCAGCACCTTTTTATTAGCAACTAGTACAGGAAGAGTATTTTTGTTGCAGCATCAATATGAGGAAATTTGTTAGTCTAAATAAGTCGCCAGAGATATTTCACTGGGACTGTCCCTTCACTGGGAAGAGGGGGAGTGGGGTTAGGCTTCAGCAGAGAAAACAGTGGAATAGTTGTGTAACTTTTGCTGTTCATTAACTTTACTTTGCAGAATGAGTTTGAGCTTAGCATCTTGGATTTTAAATAAAGACATTAGCAAAAGATACAGCATTTACATAATAAACAAACACGTAGTTTATGTCATTTTGTACAAGTTAGCGATGTACGATATATTGGCATCAATATCGGTATTTGCAGATATTAATCATTTTTTAGAATATCGGTATCAGCCCGATATGTAAAACTGGGCCGATATTAAAGTCCGATATTGATTTTCCCCKTTTTAGATTTGTGTTTTTGWTTTGGGAGTGGAAATGTTTGGTCSAGTGGTATCTGTTTGATAATTTTAATGATATTGATGCTGCACAGCCAGGAATAACTAAAGTAAGGAGCATGTCAGAGGTCTGGTCATTTATTTTAAGTATCAAAAAAAGACCCAAGTATGTTTGTGCGTATATGTATAATATAATTTGTGTGTTAATGCAACATAGAAAAAAATCAGTTATCGGCCACAACAGCAATAATTATATCGGATATCGATATCGGCTGAAATTTTTATATCTGTGCATCCCAAGTAAAAATAAATATTAAACCATTTTTATTCTCAACATAATATTATTTTTGCTTGTGCACATCCGTCCATCCATTTTCTTTACCTGCTTCATTTTTCTGTGTCGTAGAGAACCTGGGGCTCTTGTTTCGGAGAACGCACAGCTTTCACGCTGAAAGTGGAAAAGCGCGTACGCACCGAAATATCGAGACGTGTCAAACCGTGCGCACCCCCTTTGTTTGCACTCCTTTTGCTCATACATCCCAACAAACTGAGCTCACGTGAGCCACCTCCCCTGACACGCTTCCATTTAAATATGTAAAACAGACGTCCAGCGTGTCATTCTCCTCTCTGCGTGATCAGAAATAATTTTTATCTAGGTGCAGGAAAAATGATGAATTTAGTAGAATGTGAGTCAGAGATTATCTTTAAAAAGTAGCGGGCTGTAAAAATGCACAAATGGGGAGTCATTGCATGTGAAGGTGTAGTTGTTGTTGAAGTCAGGGTGCAGACCTGCCACCAGCACTTGTCCAACTTTACGCATGTGTTTATAAACTTAACTACTGTCAACACAGAGGAATTCATGGGTTTGGTATTAGTTAAGTCTTTATTATTTTTTTAAATAGTTGATGTGAGGAAACCGCAGCACCTCAATATAGAGTTTTTGCTGCTGGTTAGGGGACTTCTGTATCTGAATCATTTGGATATATTCGTCTTGTCCAGCAGCTCAGGAACTGCAGTGAAATACACGATTGGTATTTGATCAGTGATCCCCCAAAAACACGCTGCCTCCCAATTCTTGTGATGTTATCTAGCACTGCAACATCTGACGTTGTTCCACAACTAACACGTAGCTATTTATGAATGCACGTTATTTTCTGCACCTTGTTGACCTGAAGAATAATTACAAGTAAGTTTTTCTGAATTAGTCTGCTGGTCTGACAGTTTTCTTCTCAGTTGGAATGAAAGTTCTCCTTAGACGATTTGGTGTGTTTACATCTATACGTGACAAAAAGAAACTACAGTTTACATTAGAGTGAGGTTGTTTTGATCATTTTTAGCCGTGTCCTATGTTTTCTTGTCTGAGGTTAGGCGTGTTTCAGTTTCATTGTTCGGTTTTAAACAATAAAAGAAATCAGAATGGAGTCGCATATCTGTGTATTTACAGTAGCTCATATTCAGGTCTTTGTGGTTTAAAGCTGTCAACTGAAAAAATTTCATTGCTGTGCGCACGTTCTCACGGCAGGTAAAACGTGTATATTTACACACACTTTCATCTCGATCATTTGTTCTGAGAGGTAACCACGGTTCACCATTAACAGAATTAGCATTTTTGAGTCTGGCATAGATACAGAAAAGTCTGCAGGTGAAGTTACTTTGTTTTGAACTTGTAGTGGATCATTTGCAAGTTAAATATAAGGTACCGCTCTTCAGCTTTATCTGGTAATGACACACCTCTTCCTTATTCATACAGTTTAAAGGCACCAAAACATCAGTGCCACGCCATCTTGTTTATTTAAATCCAGTCATATTTGGGACTTCTGCAAAATCAAGAATTAAACGTTACAGTCAGCAGTGAAGGAGTAATAAAGAAATTAAATTAAAGAAAGAATAAGAGATGGGAGGCTGATAAATAATCAAATGGACTAAGACAGAAATCCAGACTGATCATAAAGATTTGTATCATTGCATTTGCATCTGAGGTCAATGCATCTTTTGTTTGTAAAAAGAAAACTAGGTTTGCGTTTTTATAAGGGAAACTTCATTAATTTGACACACATCATCCCGTTGACTCATCAAAACAAGTGAAACAGTAAATAAATTGATTTAGAGTTTTGTGGGTTTTCTTTGATTTGTCACATTTTTTGCTGCCCATCTTCAGTCTGATCACGATCCCCAGCAATGATTCCTCTGAGACSAGCAGGAGCTGCAGAACCTCTGCATGTCTGTGGTCCACAGAAACTCAATTCAACCACCAGCCAAACCTCACAAAAGTCTACCTCATGCTGCGTTTTACTCCTAAAAATCCAAATATAGTTTCCAAATATACCCRTGTTTGTCTTGTGTGTCTTCTTGAATGGGTGTTCTTAACTGTTTGTACAGCACCTTGTGAATTTATTTCTGTGAAAGGCGCTATATAAATAAAATTTTACTTACTTACTTACTCAAAAATCGAAATACTGGAGCGATAACGGCCTCCTTACCCTCAGAGACCAATCTACAGCCTCAAATGAAGAACTCTGGCCTCAAATTTACATCTTGTGACTCTAATTCTGAACAGTTTGGTGAGGCAATCTGCAACTTGCAAAAATAACAAACGATCCGATGACACAAAAACCCACAATGTTACAACTATAACTTTAAAGTTCTGTTTGTGAGACTCAAKATGTGCTTAGTTCTACACATATAATCTGAAATTTCTTTTTGGACTGCAGTGATTTAAGACTTTATTTACTTTATTTACTGTGTATTTATCAGATACTTTTACTTGAGATATTACTTACGAGTGAGGAACAACTTATTTCCTTTAGTGCAGTAAAAATAAAATGTTTCAGGATTGCTCTTATCAGTCGGAAGGACAGAGTACAAAAATCAAGTGAAGAAGTTTAATTTATTCGTCTTATGGTGTGGGATGATACGAGGCTCTTGATTAAAAGCTTAAACTGAGGAATCTGGCTGAGAAGAAGGAAGGTGAAGTCCTGAGTTTAATATGAACAAGAAGCTTAAAGCTAATTATAACATAAGGCTAGCCAAAAGCTAAAGTAGATAAATGTTAAAAAGTAGCAAAGTGCTAGCTATAAGCCAAAAGTGCCTAAAAGCTAACTTAAACTTAGCTAAGTGGCAAAAGAATTGCTACAAATATCAAAAGAATAACTAGAAGCTAAAAGAAACAAAAGGCATGATAAAAGTTAAAAGTATGAAAATGATAGTTAGAAGCTAATGTAGCAAAAGCCTAGCTAAAGATAGCAAAGGAATAGCTAAAAGGATCAATAGGTTGCTAAGTTAAATCYAGTGAAAGGAAGCAGTATACTAGTTAATTATATTTAGCCAAGGTAACAAAAGGCTAGCTAGAGGGTAAAGATAGCAAAAGGCTTGGTAAAAGTTAAAGCATTGAAATGCTAGTTAGAAGTTAACATAGCAAAAGCCTAAAGATAGCAAAAGAGTAGCTACAAGTATCAAAATGCTAGCTAGAGGCTAAAATTAGCAAAAYTTTTGATAAAAGTTAAAAGGAGCAAATGCTAGATTTATTTATTTACCGTTGTTTAACCAGGCAAATCCAATTGAGATCGCAGATGTATTTTTCAAGGGAGGCCTGGGCCTGAAGGCAACCTATGTTTTTAGGGGTGGGGGAAACCAGAGTACCCAGAGAAAACCTACACAAGCACGAGGGGAACATGCAAACTCTGCACAGAAAGATCCCAGGTCTGAACCGGAGATTGAACCCAGGACCTTCTGTGAGGCATCAGTGCTAACCATTGCTCCATTGTGTTGCCAATAGATAGACGCTAATATAGCGAAAGCCTAGCTAAAGGTAGTAATATGCTGGTTAATTACACCTTAACTAACAGAAGTCTAACTAAAAGTAGCAAAAGGCTAGCTAAAGTCTAGCCTAAGTTTGTAGTAGAGGAAAAAGTAGCTAAAATTTAAAAGTAGGAGAATTATAAAAATAAAAGAAAGCAAAATTAGAGCCAATAATTTGGAATAGATTTGAAAGAGGACGATGTTTTTGTGAGATTGTTTTAATTCTGAAGTGACAGAGATGGACAATAATAGTTAAAAAATAATAATAAAGGGAAAGACCTTCACAGCCCAACGAGTTCATGAATGTAAAATAATAGTATTGTTGGCAGGTGTACAAATTCCTGGATTAATCTTTAATCATTTGACTCAACAGTGTTTACATGCGCAAAATTCTTTGATCAGATTGAAATGTATTCGGATTAATCAGAATGTATCGTTTACATGGACACAATCTGATGGACACAATCATGACGAGTGTTTACATGCACCAGGCTTTTATTCTGAATAGAAGCAGTGACATGTGCAGTTGCTAACTTTCCCTTAAAAAAACACAGAAAAAAGTTCTTCCTCCATGATGAACATAAACAAACAGCTTCTGAGCTCAGAATGGACCTGCGACAGGTTTTAATAATGGTGGAGACATTACTGCACTCTCTGGTTGAGCTGCAGATGACGCATGGACCTTTTTTTTCTTGCGAAGCAGCGCAGGTTGTGTGTCTTCCTTTATCGAATGAGAAAACGGGAGGAAAAGTTCTGTGTTGCTGGAAACACCCTCCACAAAACAGCATAAACCGGTGGATGAAAGTCAGCAGACATGCACAGTCAGGTCAGTTTTCCACAGTCAGAATAAGATGATCGGATTAAGTGTTTACACGCACGTCATTCGGATTATCAATCGGCATAAACCACCTCTCTCATTCCGATTACAAATTCATTCGGATCGAGCTGAATCGGGTCAGAATAACCCGAATGGGGTGTTTACATGACGCATTTTTATTCCGAATGGCCGTTTAATCCGATTACTTGTGTCCATGTAAACGTAGCTTTTGGAATGACAATCTGATTAATTTACAGGAAGTGTGCGAATGAACTCTTCTTTACCCCACAAAATGTCAGAGTCTGTCAGAAACACTCAGCAGGAAGGTAAATGTAAAAACAGGGGAGAGACGCACTGTTAAACATTTACAGGTTCACTCCGTCCTCAAAGAATATCCGTACCTCAGAGCATGCTGAACCCAAATCTGCAGGTTGGTTACCAGAAGTCATCAGACTGGATTTGATTTCTCTTTCTTAAAGTAGCTTATCTGGTTCTTTAGGCTTCAGCTAAAAATGTAAAATATGCAAATTACTTTGTGCTCTAAAAATCTCAGAACAGATTGAGAACACTGTTTTGCTTTTTGGTGACTTACTGTGGGAGAAATATCTGAGGCACAAAAAAAGAACACATAAAAAAAACTTGTGATGCTTTGTTTTGTGAATAAAGGACAATGAATGGAAAGTGATGAAGTGGAAACAAACTGGAGAACTTCCACTTCTGCCGATAATATTTCCATCAATTTTTTTGATGATTGTTTACTTTACTTTTTGGGAAAGCTTTCAGCCACTTTTTCTTTATGTGATTAAACTACACTTTCTGTACTTTAAATTCAACAAACTACAGATAATAAAATACTTATTAAGAATTATTTGTATTTATTTATAATTTTTAATAAAACTTATGTAAGTTTTGTTACATTTCAATGGTTAGTAATTCATAGAGATGAGATTATTAATAGGAAAAACACTAAATGATTGCTGTAAATTACCAAAGAAGCTGAAACTAAGTTGTTTAAACAAAAAGAAGCGAAATGCTAGCTAAAAGCTAAAAGTAGCAAAGTGCTACATAAAAACCTAAAATAAACAGAAGACCACCCAGAAGCTAAAAGTAGTAAAAGGCTATAGCCAACCCCCCCCCTCAAAAAAACAAAAAAAAAAAAAAAAACAAAAGAGAGAATAAAATGCCACCTAAAATCAGAAAGGTCTAACCAAAAGTTAAAAAATAAGCAAAAATAAATGGCCAGATGTAAGCTAAAAGAAGCTAAATGATAGGTAGAAGCTTTAAGTTGCAAAATGTTAAATAAAGCTATAGCTAAAAGCTACAAAAGACCAACTAAAAGCTAAAAGTAGTGAAAGACTAGCCAAAAAACAAAAAAACAAAAAAGGGAACAAAATGCCAGCTATAATCAGCAAAATCTAGTCAAAATCTAAAAAATAAATAAGCAAAAAATAAATGGCCAGATGTAAACTAAAAGTAGCAAAATAATAGCTGGAAGCTTTAAGTAGCAAATTACTAAAGAAAGCGATAGCTAAAAGCAACAAAAGACCAGCTTGATGCTAAAAGTAGTAAAAGGATAGGTGGAAGCTTTAAGTAGCAAAATACCCACTAAATTCTAAAAGCGCAAATGTAGTTATCCAGGCCTGAAATAGCTAATTGTTTGCTAGGAGCTAAAAATAGATCAAATTGATTGAGAAGCGAAAGTGTCAGTCTGACATTCTTAAAGCTAAAAGTAGCAAAAGGCCAATTAAAAGTAAAAATATATATATTTATTTAAAAAAGGACATGAACGCCTCATCATCCTGTGATCTTTCTCTCTCAGCTGCAGACATGGCTTGTTTCATGCAGCAGGGCGAGATGACGGAGTACAAGAAGATCCTGATCAAACGGGACTTGGAGATGGGCGTGGTCATGACGGTGTTCCGGCAGAAGGCGGAGCGGCTCACGGTGCAGGTCATCATGGAGACCCGGCAGGTGGCGTGGACCCGCACCGCAAACAAAACCGACGGTGTCTGTGAGTAGATCTGCCACTTCCTGGTAGGAAACTGGGTGAAACTGGATAAAACTTGATCCAAAGAACATCTGAGTTCACAAACTCATTTATAGTTTTGCTGCACCCGGGGCTGCAAGATTGGTTACAGCATGGAGGTAACTCTGGTGCCACAGAAGCAGATTTACAAACTGACTATATTAGTGCCTCCAGAAATGGATCTTTCTTACGTTTCTTTGCCAACATGCCTGCCTGGTGTCTTACGATTTTGTTGTTTTGTACACCTGTCTACATGTTCTTTTATTGATCTGTTAATCGATTTGCACCACAGACAGACACATTTTCAGTGAAATTGACCTTTCACCTYGCCACAGCCATGCCTAAACTTATAGACACACGAATAAGGGATTGTTGCGTGAAGGAATTCATGCTTTGAATTCTGAAAGACTTTGTTTAACGTTATCTGTGCTAAAAGATAAAATGCTGTCATCCTGTAATAATAAAAAGGCTTTCTGGCACCAGAAAGGTGTGAGGTGATGTCACTTCAGAGGAAATTCTTTTGAAGTATTTTGTGATCCTAAAATAAAAGTACCTCTTGCAGGCGGTTAGGCAGACGTTATGTTAGTCACAGTTGCTAACTTTTAGGAGGTTTGTGTTTTTAAGTGGCATCCACGGAACAAAATAAATAAAATAAGTGCAAAAAATTCATAAATTTATCAAAATTGTGGCAGTTTAAGTGTTGTGCTTGTGTTTCAGTGGACCTGTTTGAGATCAGGGAAATTCGTCCYGGCAGAAACTCCAAAGACTTCGAACGCTTCAAAGATGGGAAGGACAGACACGACGAGAACACCTGCTTCACCATTTTCTACGGCTCCCAGTTCGTCCTGAGCACCCTCAGTCTCGGAGGTAAAGATTTTATTTTATTTTATTTTTTTAGTTAATTAAGTAGTTGACATTGTCCTGCTGAAATATGCAAGATTTCCCTGTGAAAAAAAAAACACTGTCTGGATGGGTGCAAAATTGGAAACATTTAGTTTTTTAAACAAATTTTCACAAAGTCCCACCTTTTTTAACTTTTAACTTTTTTTAACTAAACGTTTTTATATTTTGTGATTTAGTAACATCTTCTGCTTCTCTTTGAAATAAAT